ATCAGGAATGTACCTTCAAAAAAGGAATGGAAAAATCCAGTGCTCCTTTTCTTAGAGCCTTGCAATGGTGCATCCTCACTGGTACTGCATCCTTACTGGTACTGCTTAATGGACACTCTTGATATACACAAGATGTGCAATGAATTGCAACCATACAGTGCACTGGATAACAAAACATGAGCAAATCTCTAAAACAGGATGGTTTTGTGCTGCTCCCTCTATGCTAGGAATTGGTAGTTGAAGGCGAAAGCATCCAGGGTAGTTTAACCAGGGAACAAGTTCTCGTTTAGAGCTTGCAGAAAAAAGTGGCCTCATGCCAAGATCAGTGGGGCTGGAAATGCACCCCCTGCGGTAAAAATACAGGGAGATCCCTATATAATGGCAGTTCAGAGAGGAGATCTGGCAAAGCCATGAACATCTGGTGGTTTTGATGCCTTAAGATTTGGCTGTCCGGCAGTTCATAGCTTCATTGATGGTGTTTAGGGTGAGGTTGTCTCGCCCTGTAATGCGGTCCTGGTCTGAAGAGAAGGCCTGAGAATACCAAAGCTCTACAGGAGAAATAGGGACCAGAGTTTATTTCTGTTAGGCTGCTTCCTGTGTGGAAACATTAAGAGAAGGGTAACTGTGCTTCGGGCCATCCGGTGATCACCATTCAGCTAGGACCCTTAGCTGAATGGAGATAATCAGATGGCCTGAAGTAGTCCTTTTTCAATCTTACGTCTTTTATACCTCCCTGGTGTCACATTCTCATGATTTGATTATATTGGTTGCGGCCTTTAATAGGTTTCCAGTAAAATCCTCATTCTTTTCATGTTGTAATAGGATTATTGTACAAGACAATGACATTTGTACCTAAGCCAAAATACACAGCAGTTTACATGTGGAATAACTGAAACCATCTAGAAATTCAATTTTCTCAAGATCAGCATAAAGCTTTTCAAACAGGCCCAACCCACATGGGAAAAACAAGTTGCTGTTGAATCAATAACAAAGCAACAAGTTTCAAGGCTGTGCCAGCAAAACAAGGAAATGTCTTTGCCTCTCGGATACCCCCTCACATCCTTACCTATGGAGGAAGTTTTTTCTGCCATCAATTACTGATTCATTCAGTCTGGGGAGGGGCTGCTTTCCAGTTTGGTTTGCATGCCGGTCCTCTAATCAGCTGGAGAAAAGGAGTCACTTATATAAGCCAAGGGAAAGGAACTGCTTCTGCAATACAGCTCACATGAATAGCTAGGACCGAGCGCTGGTTGACTCCCGAAATCCAGCTTCTGCATCTGCTCACCCCGTTTCTTTAGGGTTGTGTTGACTGGGACAAGTGGCAATTTGGGAGGCTTTCCTCTTCTTACTGGTCTTTCTTTTTCAAGGCAGTCGGTGAAGGAAAGTGGAAGGCATGACCCCCTCCTCAGACAAAGAGCTCAACGGGCTAGATAACCCCAGCTTTGTGGTGAGTCTGCTCTTCTCTGAAGGGTAATGCTTGCATAAATGGGTGCGAGCCCTGCAAAAGAAGGAGAAAGGGAAAGCCAGGGGGCTCAGACTGGCTGCGAGGATGCTGGTGTGTGGTAAATGTCTGTCTCGGCTCCTTTATCGACAGGAATCTGAGCAATGATTTCCTCACTACAGCCTGCTGCTGCTGCTGCAGGATCAGCATGCTTTCTACTCTCTGGCACCCTTTTCACTTCTTTTCTCTCCATTATTTCTAAAATGATAGCTTAGATGAATGGCAGCGCAAGTGTATTGGTACTGACAAGCAAGCGAGCTTGCAGCTTCTTGTGCCTGTGTCCCTGGGTAGAGCATTTTATATATAAATTAGTAAAAATACAATAGAAATTTAGCCTAGTGAAGAGTGTGTTTCTTTGTCTTCTCAATCTATTGCTAGTGGGGCAAATTGTCAGAGAGGTGAGGGAAACAGGAATCTGAGAGTCGTCAGGGGAGAGCACCCTGCCTGGTTACAGCAGGGTGGTAAAAGCTGTAAATGATATGTCAGTTCAGGGGTGTGCAGTGCACTGGAAATGCTGTGGGCTGTAACAGCCATAGGGCAAGGGCCGGGGGCACAGCAGCCCCCTTCCTATCTCACGGCAGGGGTCACCTCCATTAGAAACGTAAAGAGCTGCTTATGTTCGGACTGCAGGTGTGAGAGGGGTCCTGACACTGTCTTTGTACCACGGTACAGACCACCCGCCTGGGGGACCTTGGAGGAGGCATTTAACCTCCTGGTGTGCAGGTCTCCCATTTCTCAGATAACTCCTGGTGAGCTGGCTGTGAGCAGTGGGAGTGCTGTGCCAGCTGCAGGCAGAGCCTCAGGGAAGTACTCAGAGCAATGCAGTTTTCTTTTTCTATTGTTAATGGTCTCCGTTTGTGCCTGTTCTGCCATAATGCAGATCAGGCTTGTGACTTCCTCTGGTTTGAATCACCCCAAAGAAGGCAGAAGACAGAGGTCTTTTACCTGTGGTTCAAGCTGCTCAGTTTCTGACTGCCTTCCTGGTGTGCTGATTTAAGATGCTGTTGAAGGCCGTGATGCTGTGCCTGGAGCCTGAGGTATATGGAGGGTGTCCTGGTCCCCTGGGTTTGTGGGAGAAGCTGGATTGAGAACCACCAGCAGTGGTTCCCCATTCCCACTCCGGACTGCTTCTGTCTTGTCCTCCTGCCAGCATCTCAGCATCACAGGCTGGCTGAGGTTGGAAGGAACCTCTGGAGGTCAACTTACCCAACCCCCCCTGCTCAAGCAGGGTCGCCTAGAGCCTGTTTGCCAGGACTGTGGCTACACAGTTTTTAAACATCTGCAAGGATGGAGATTCCACAACCTCCCTGGACAACCTGTGCAGCGCTCGGTCACCCTTGCAGTGAAAAAATGTTTCCTGGTGTTCAGACAGGACCTCCTGTGTTTCAGCTTGAGCTTGTTGCCTCTGGTGCTGTCTTGTCCTGCTGCATCCTTCTCCTGCTGAGCCCTGCTCGCTCCCCTCCAGTTCCCGGGGAGGGTCAGGCGTTCATGTGATGGTCATGCGGGGCTGTTACTGGCACAGGCTCTTCCAGGCTTGAATATGCCTCCTGGTTAACATGGGAAAAGTTGCAGTGCAAGGCAAGGAGCTTACTGCTGTCTGCCTAGCTTAGAATTCATCTACCCGTGGTGTTATTCAGGAGTAGCTGTCCCCACATAACTCCATGCATGGGCAGTCTTAAGTACCTTGCTGTACATTTGTTAATCCATGGCTCAGGCTCTCTTATTCTGAAATGAAAATGTCTCCACAGGGAGTTATTTAGGAATGCCTTTTGCTCTTGAAGTTCATGCCTGAGCTCAGTTTGAATTAACTCTGCCTTCACCTGTCTCTTCTGAAGTATCTGTAATGCTCCCAGCCTGCCTAGGCTGGGTAAATACACTTTGTTTAAAAGGTATTATTACATAGCACATTTTCAACAGCATGATCTAAAATGGGACTTTGGAGACTCAACCATGAGAATGGAAACCTGGATGTTTCAGACAAGTGATGAAGTCCTTCAGGATTAATCTGCCACACCTGCAAAATTTACAACTGAAAGTAACATTAACTTTATGTCCCTATTCCCTGACCACAGCATTAGGTGTTTGCCTCCATCGGTAGGTAGGCCATGAGTGTTACTGCAGCCACCTCACTTTTCTGGGCATTTCGGTGTCTTCAGGTTCCAGCAGGACTTGGAGGATGAAAAAAAAAAGTTTGGTGCTGACAAACTGGTTGAGCTTCTGCTGACAGCAGGTTTCAGTCTCTGCCTGAAAGAGCAGGGCATCCCAGCCCAGAAAAGCCCTCTGCTGCCCGCGTGCCGAGGACGCGCTGGCTGGAACAGGGTCAATGAAACAAACGGTTTGGGATCTTAATTAGCTTCTGCATTCGGCGTGGCTTCCCAGGCAGCCTCCCTCTACCACACGTGTGTGTGTGCAGGGGGGTGTGTGTGTGTGCGCGCGCATGGGGTGTCTGTGTGCCCAGGCAGTGTGTGTGTGTACGTGTGCACGTCTGTGCTCAGGGGTCAGGGTGGGTTGGAAGGAGGAGTGGACAACCAGGGGCATTTAAGTAGCTTAAAAGCTGTGGCAACTGAAGGAAGGCAATATTTTGCTTTCCTTGGCAAAACGCATTTTTGTATAAATAAACTCTGAAAGGCATACAGCTCCCTGGGGAGCCCTGGGGCTTCTGGCTGCCTGGGAGGGGATCCGAGCCTTCCAGGGGAGCTATTTCAGACCCCGCCACCTCCCTGAGGGCCCAGGTTCCCACGCTGCTTCCCCATCCCTGGTGCTGCCCCCACCCTGGGGCATCCCTCCGGGTGCCGTTCCTCACAGCAGGTGGCCAGGCTGGGGCAGCACCCTGGTAGCCCTGCTTTGAGTCAGCTCCTTGAAACAGACACCAGGACTCCCTGTCCATCGGTGTCCCTGTGTTTCACCCAGCTCCTGTGTAGGAGTGAGGTTTTCTAGTAAGACAAAGGGCAGGTGTGTTTATGGAGGCAGAACATTTGTAAGGGTGAGTATAAGCAGATTGGAAAGAGAAGACTTAAGAAAATTAAATATAAAATATGCTTCTACTCTGTAATTAGTGGTGGCCAAGTTGTTTCAACATATTTTATCAAAAGCGCTGTTTGGGTGGGGCAGACAGGAGGGGCAGAGACCAGGGGACAGTGCAGCTTTC